TCACAATACAATTTAAGACAAGATGGTAAGGAGGGCTTACAATCTAAAATATTTAACACAGATACCCTTTTATTGGACAGGAAAATTGAAGTTGGTGTGCCTTTTCCCTTGTGTGGTGTGTGTGCATGGGCAAAATAAAATAAAACATATTCTATAATCTCTCGAATACATGCAGGTTTTTCTTTTTAAAAATTCTGCAAGTATAGACTACACATACCTGCTAATCTTTCCAGATCCTAACTTCTTCTGCTGCATGTATATTTTTGTACCAATGTGTATCCAGCCCACTTCAGTATAGCAGACATCTCAACTCTCCCGGACGCTCCGGGAGTCTCCCGCTTATAGCCATGGCATAAATAAATAAAAAACTCCCATAATGCAATGGAAACATTCTCTGTAGTGCAGGATTTGATTACAGACACATAGGGGTCTATGTATTAAACAATTTGCAGGGCCATTCACCCTCCAAATCTCTGTGAATGTTTATTTAGTGTGAATAGAGGTAAAAACAAATGTTCTTGGCATGTTTTTTTTTCAGACCTTATGTAATGTAATATTGCATTATGGCCATGAGGTGGAGCTGAACAGCATAAGAAGGAAAAACGTATTTCCTATGCTCCTCAGCTATGTTCCTCAGCTCCATTACATGGCTGTAATACAGTATTACATTACAGTTGACCTGAAAATATACTAAGAACACTTATTTGTACCTCTATTCAAACACTCACAGATTTGCAAGCTAAATGGCTTTGCAAATTTTTGTAAATAGACCCTATGATTTGTCGAGCCAGGAAGGGCTGCTAATTTGTGTATTTACTGCATTGTCATTTCAAGAAAAGTAGGTAAAGAGTTGGCCAACACAAGTAAATAAGACCCCATTCACACTGAGCTACATCACAATTTGAGCGCTGGCGCTGATTTGAGCTGAGCGACATTGAGCTACAGTGAACATTTTGTTGTGCTACGTACCTCTTCTTTTGGCACAGCCTATTGGGGCCAAATCGCACAAAATCTGCTGAAAAACAGGTCATGTTCGAGCAACAAACTACAGGCGACATTGAGCTGCAAGATGTGAACAGCTCCATTGAAATGCATTGGACAAGCTACAGTGAGCTATATTGAGCTTCATGTTTGAGCAATTTTTGAGCGGAAATCGCACTACAAATCGCTCAGTGTGAATGGGGTCTAAAGCAACAAAATGTAACTACTTGTTAGCAATCGTCTCATTTGCAGCCCAGTGAAATGAATGTAATGCTAATGATGTAACTATTAACATGGGGAGATTTAACTCCCCATGGTCTAGATAGAATTAGCTGGGTTGGTTTTCGGGTCATGCTGCATAAACATATATGTAGCCACTATTTGTGGCAAGGAAAAATTATTTGCAGTCAGTAACAGGTCTGTACTGCAGCAATTCCAGCTATTTGGATTTGTAAGCAATTCTCTTTTGCAGGGCTTAAAACTAGGTACAGAATCACGAGCTTCTGTAGCTTACCATGTTATTGATTGTAGTGACCCACCAGCGATTTGTAGTTGCATAGAAAAGATTTGTAAACTGTTACAGCAGCCATTCCCTAGCTAGTTAACCATTGCCAGAGAAAATAAGAGAACTACAAAGTTGCTATTGTGACATAGCATAGCCCTTAAAGAAACATCTCTCTGTGCCTCCACTATTTTACTTCTGCCTGTCCTTGGATTGGCTCATGATCTGCCTCTTTCTTAACTCTGTTCATGGTCATTCTGTTAATCTCCCTGCTACTTGATGAGCTCATACTCTGCCTACTCTCTATTTCCTTCCCGTTCAACTTCTACTCTTTCTTTGTTGCTTCTCCTAATGGTCAGCTGCCATTCCTGTCTCCTATACCCCCTGCCATAATCATCTCCCACTCTGTTAACTGTACCCCTCCAATCCACAATCAGTTTATACTCTCATCACCCATGACCAGTTCTAGTGTGATGGCAGAGTAGGCCAAATAGTACATGTGTTATTAGGCAGTATTGCATACAGTGTGGCCAAAATCAATTCAGACTAAATTAACGTGTTCTTGGATGGGCACACATTTGTTAGTTGTTGTTAAAATTAGTTGTATTATCAAACTTCTAGCTGCTTTTCTCTTTGACTGATCAGACATTTTATTGAAGCACGCAACAACAGGACTAATTCTGTAGCTCCAGTCGTACAGTGTATGTTGACATTTTCCAACTTGTTGGAAAATCCCTACAAAAGATAAAAGGCATTTCTGATTATCACAAGTACTCCTTATCGCTTACAAGGCTGCCCATGAACCATCTGATTACTACAAACAATGTAAAAGCTCAGCATTTTAAAATATTATCTGGCTCTTTAACTAGACCAGAGTTCTTCTTTGAACATAAAAGCACATTTTTTAATCTTAACTGTTAATAGAATAATTATGTTTCTTCTTAGCTCCCCCAGCTGTGGGCTGTCCTTAAACTAAGAGGCTTTCTTCAGCTAATGTCACATTGAATGAATGGTCCAATTAGTGTCAACAAGGCAAATAATATATATTTGACATACTTGTAATCCATTTACATTTTTTCCTGGAACACTCTGGTTTTACCAAAAATAAATGACTTTTAAAATAGGAAAGCACATGTTTTCATTATTTGAATTATTAAATAAACATGATTAAAGGTCATGAATTATATAAACACAACTAAAGTGCTGCAAAGTATAACAATAGATGTGGCTGTTAACTGTCATCGGTTAACGTAAAATTTATACTTCAGGGTCCATTCAGGAAGCAACAGTATGGCTTCAGTGAGGTTATACTGCTACTTTAAAAAGAAGGAAAAAGAGTACCGCTCCTTTATAAAACACAGCAATGTGTTTTACAGATGTGCTTTGTGCTCCCCTTGCAAGAGAAGCACAAAAAAATGAATAAAGGGATCAAACGAAAAAAAGCCAGGAGAACCGCCTGGTCCCATGACCTGTCAAAGTCATGCAAATGACCTCTCTTCCAATCATGGAGTTCTCTCTGTTGCATTAAGTAACCAAACAAATGGCTGATAGCAATATCCATTCCCTTTCATGAATGAGCTCCTAAAAGGCTAATGTAGTGCTAAGATCATTTACAATTATTGATTATCGTTAAACAACTACAGGCATTTTTTTAATAAGGTTGACAACACTAGACTACTGAGAATTTAACCAGACATGTTTTGCTGAGGTAGACTTAAAGGAACAAGAAATTACATGCGTGAAGACTTCACTATAGTTCACATTGGTTTAATAGATAGCTTTTTGATTTGTTAAACAAGCTTGGTCCCTTACTTGAACTTGCAAATTATGAAGTACCTGCAAAGATGACAGTAAATACTGCTCCTGCTGCTCTATTAAAGAGACATAGACTGATGGAATTTCTTCAGACAACACCTTTGAGAGAGTGTTAATCTCCTGTCAACCCCACTGTGCTCAGTGGTTCCTTCTGCCAACCCTCACATCATTATGGGACACAGTGCATAAATCCTCCCAAGAGCCAATTTGCTGCTTGTATTTCAGAGTTCGTGAGAGGAGTACTGTCACTGTGGCATGGTGCTGTGATGTTTTTACAGCACCCTGCTGGCCCCTCCCATCAGCTTTGGCCTGTCTGTGTTGCATACATAAATATGACATCCCTGGGTCCAAAATGATGTAAAAGTGGAAAGGTTTTATTTAAAAATTTCATTAGCATGTTGATGGGTTGCAAGGGTGGAGGAACCAGGGAAGGCAAAATATAGGCAGACTAAACTTCAGCTTTAAGCAACCGAGTCACTGTAAAGTGTAACCGTACCTTTGGTTTCCCCACACCACTGCTCCATTGAAGAAATTGCTTTAGCTAAAAAAAAGAATATGGCATGCTATAAGTTTTTATTATATTGTTTTACACTTTTACATACTGTATATGTGTTTGAGAAAAATATTTATCATCTATTGAGGAACACAGGATAGTAGTTATTATTGGACATGTAGGCTTTACTACCGCCTACAATCACTGAATATGATTTATTTCTCTCCAATCAAGCTACTTGACACGCTGCAGATGCTTTTTCTTAGAAAATTTAATTTAAGACTTCAAAAATGCTCCTTGTGCTAATCTCTTCATGGCAGTTATCTGGATCAGCATATCCTCAGCAACAGATTTTCAGGCCATATCTAGAATCTGCTGGGCCAAAGATTGCAAGGCTTACCTGGAATGTGACCTTCAGTCACTGAGCTCTGCACTTTCCAGACCTCTGGAAATGAGAGCACCAGGTCTAGAGCTGTAGCCCAGCCTCTGGCTTGATCCAGTCTCTTAAGACTCCCTTTGCGAGAAAGCCTTCAGGGTGAAGCATATTTATATTTTTTTGGCTTAGCTTTGTAAGCCCTACATGTCCCCTACTGGACTGGTAGATTGCGGACTAGCCTGTAATTTGGCCTTTGCAAAAATGGCTCTTCATTTTTGAGCTTTCCAGACCTTTCGGTGTTTTTGGTTAGCCATAGAATGTTCTCCAGTCCAGAACTGAGGCACAGCCTCTGGTGTGACCCAGTCTCTACACTTGGTAACTAAGGCCACCCAGCATGAACCATTTTGACATTTACATAGCTGTACCCAAATCCCTTTGCACTGTCAGCGTGCAGGTTTTTCCTGGAATATGAGCTTCAGGCACTGGGTTTGCTTATAGCAGTTAGCAGCAACAGTTAGTGTTAGCAGCAAATGGTTTCTACCTTCAGCGCCATGGCAATTGTGACCCAGTCTGTAAGAACTCGCACAGTGAGGTAGCCGGTCAGACTGAAGCACTAGGAGTTACCTCACAGTTGACACAGTTGGGATCTGTGAAAAACAAAACATTTGTTACGTTTTAGATTTGTCTGTGTAGAGCAATAAACGTCTTCTAGAGCAATACTCACTACAGAGAACAACTTTTCTTATTGAATAGAGCAAGTATTGTGCTAGCTGCAATTGCACAAAAAAACTTGTGTATATGATTCCATTTTTATGCTTATATTTTTCTTTAAGTTTTCAAGGGTTTTAAAAAACAGAGCATGGCCTACGTTCAAGCAGGCAAAGTCAAAGATCTCACCACTCCACAGCAGTGATTTCTGCCCAACAAACTGTCATTTCAACGTCATGCAGGTTTCATACCCCAAAACCTTGACATCCCTTGGCAGTGCATTTGGGGTGCAACTAGACAATAGAAAACAGACTTCCCAGGACAAAGAAAATAAAATCACAGAGCACGGTAAGTATTGTGCAAATGTTGTATATTTAAATATTTAAGAGACAAAGTTTATCCCTATAAATGCGTCCATACTGATATTCCAAATAGAGTTATTGCCATGGAATGAACTGAGGTCATGGGGCACATGTGCAGTAGGCTCAGGAACCAGGCTGAACCAATTTGATGAAAAGGGTGCGGTGGTGGGCGGGGCTGTATAGCATAAGATCTCAGGAGTAGGTTTACAGGTAAGTATTTACCCATGGGGGTATTTATAATGTAGCTAGAGCAATACATGTGGATGCTATGTGACCTGGAGGTGTGCCCCACTAGTGGTCTAATCTTAACCCCTTTATGACCCTGCGACAAATAAATTTATATGCGGTGTCACAATGTTTGGCTTCTTTGGTGGCACTGCATATATGAGCACCTGTATTTGTGTTGGAAGCATACTCTGTTGCACTCCCCTCCAGTATTCATTCTACTCATGCTGTGCACTGCACGGTATATAACCTATTCTAGCTCATTCTGTATGGTAATTGTTCCACATTGCCTCACTCTGTACAATTTACTTCTTTATCTATTGTGCTTTATTCTCTACACTGTGCTTCACATTCCATATTCCACACACCACATTCTGTACACTGTGCTGTACATTTCCAATTCCACACTGCCCATTCTGTACATGCATTGTGCCTTCATTATTCTGCATCATTATTGTTTACTCTGTGCTATACATTCCATCTCGCTTCATTCTGTACTCTGTTGTTCATTGCATATTTTTACACCTCCTCATCCTTTACTGTGATCTGTACATTTCATATTCCATACCACCTCAATTGTACACTGCACTGTGCATTCCCTTTTCTGCACTGCTTCTTTCTGTACTCTGCACTGCACACTTCATATTCTGTACTGTCTCAATCTATAATAAGTGCTGTACATTTCCCATTCCACAATGCCTCATTCTGTACACTATGCTGTACATTCCTTATTTCACTTCTCTTCATTCTGTACTTTGTGCTGCCGATTCTGTATTTGGCATTGCTTCACTCTATACTCTGCACGGTATAGTCCCAGTTTTATCTCCCTTATTCTGTATTCTGCACTGTACATTCCCTGACTGCTGCACTTTATACAATATATCATACATTTCATAGTCCTTATTGTTGCACTCTGTATGTTTTGTTGTACATTACCAAGGTGGTAATCATCCTGGGGCGGGTGCATGTGCAGAACACATTTACGGACGGGACGTGAGGAGAGACACAAGGTAAGTATATGGACGGCGTGCACCCGCATGCAGACACCGTGGGACAGAAAGTGCCAGCAAGCCCGGAGGGGTCAGCGCTCAATCGGAGACCTGCAGCAGCGCTGGAGGGACAGATGAAAAGGACAAGAAAGAAGAAGATCTGTTTAAGAAACATCATTTAAGGTAAGTGCTGGCATTAAAATTGGGGGGATGGAAAAACATTTTTGACTTTACTGTCACTTTAAGCACTCTCACAGTTTCATTGCTTTAGGTATGCCATTGCTTGAAATATAGTCCAAAATTTCTGAAACTGATACACCATAAAAACATTAAATTGGTATAGAATGTTGTCCCTTTCTAAAGTAAATGTCATATTTTATACCTTATGTCTCACTTTTAAATAACATCATTTGATAAGTCTTTTAAATAATTTTGTATTAAAATAAACTTTCCCTGATGCTGCCTAGGTAAACTCAGTCCTATGGTGTACGTACAACATACTACAACCACCATGGCTGCACCTTCGGGACATTCATTAGGTCAGCGTGATGGCCATGGCTTGCGGTATTTACTTAGAGATGAAGATTTGGAAACACAGGATATACACCATAAGTTACTATGCAAACTCCAGTCGGCCCTGGCAGAAGTGGAAACCTGCGTGTCCCAAATTGATGAGTAAGTATTACCATTACTTGTTATTCCTCTCCAGTTTTCAGTGAGTTTAATTTAATTTTGTTATTACTGGAGGTGCGCCAAAATGGAGGAGAGCTCAGCCACCTGTGACATGGCTGACAGCTAACTCCTCCCCCGCACTACCGGCTCAGCCTCCTGTGACATGCTCTCCTCCCTGCCCCGTCCCGCACCCTCTTGACCTCCAGAATGTTTCTCTCCTCCCCGCTGGATGCTGCTCTGTGTCAGAGGGGGACATAGTGCAGTGCCCAGCGGGGAGGAGAGAAACCATGGATGCACTGCAATTTTGGACACAAAATGGTACTTTCTGCATTTTGCCCAAAGAGCCATTTTCTGCTGATATGTTTCGGCTGCCGAAATTTTGGTGCGTCCCTAGTAATTACATTTATATGCTGCTGGTCTCTCAGAAGCTTTTCTTTCCATTCCATCCCCACTCCTGTCTACATACATTTGTCTGAATACATATATCTGCAAGCTGGATCAATAATCCACCTGGTGCTTTCTTATGCTTTGCTTCAGTGTTGCAGCTTTGCAGACTTCATTCTTTACTGGTGGCTGATAAATTTGTATTTTTACTTTGTTTGTTACTTCTTAACCTGCCTTCTGAAGTGAAAATAATTGCCACATAAAATATTTAATTATACTGCTGAGATGCTGCCATGTAAATGTTAGCAATAAATTTTCCACATTTTATGTTTATTTACCTGTTTCTCGGTTGTCTCCTACCAGTATAAATGATTGTACTTAAGGTAATTTAGTTATAAATCATAAAAATATGTAGCATATATTTCACCGAAAGTCAAGGAAATCAATGTTGTGTGACGATGTTAACAAAATAGTCTAGAACCTCTAATAACCAATCAGTGTTATTAATCACTGTCCATTGATACATCAGAAAACTAATGCTTGGTTGGTATTACCTCACAATAGTGCTTTTAAAGTTTTTTTTTTATAATAAGTGTGTGCTGGACACAAAGTTCTCAGGTCCAAATGAATGTCCAGATGGTCTAGTCAAAGTTCTCAGGTCCAGATGAAGGACAGAGAGAACGGATTTTAGAACAGAATAATGTTTTCAGCTGTATTCTTGTATGACTAATCAGTGACCTTCCAGAACACAGAACACATAATAAGTGAATAATAAGTAAACACAATTAAAGAAGTACAAATCTTCTATAATTCTCATAGCAGAGCTGTTTATATCATGAAATATAATCTGTGAAATGTTTAGTGTCAAATTATGTTCTTCTTTTGTAAAACAGAATATCACCAGCACACCAAACAATGGGGTCAAGTGTTCGTCCCTTACTGATGCATATTGTCACATTGAAGCAACGTTTTGGGGCCGCGCAGGATGCCCTTCATCAGACACAGTGTTGTGCTTTAACCACTTCAAGACCAGGTGTTTAGACCCCCTTCCTGGCCAGGCCATTTTTTAGTATTCAGCGCTGCGGTACTTTGACTGACGTTTATTCCTTCATGCAACGCTGTACTGAAATTAATTTTATACAATTCTTTGGGGACAGATAGAGCTTTCTTTTGGTGGTATTTAATCACCACTGGGGGTTTTATTTTTTACTATAGTTAGGAAAAATTACTGAACATTTTGGGGAAAAAAAACATTTATTATGTTAGGAAACATTTATTATTACCCAGTTTTTTTGTAAAATATAAAAGTCGGGGTCACGTCGGGTAAATAGACACCAAACATGTCAAGCTTTAAAATTGCGCGCACCCGCGACATCGCAAAAAACTACCATACCCAAAATTGGCCATAGGCGACACTTTAAAAGCTTTTACCGCTCATCAGTTTAGTGTTATCTGTGATTGATGGCCCTAGAACTATTGCTCTCACTCCGATGTTCGCGGCGATATGTAACATGTGCGGCGTAATGGGCGCAATCGTCTTTTTGGCACGTATGCGCCCCCGATGCATGTTTACATGCGTGTATGTATGGGTGGGGACTTTAAAAAAAAACATTTTTTAATTCTTTTTTATGTGTAACTTAAAATTTTGTTTTGGGGGGGACTTTAATTTTTTTTTCCACTAAGCTTTATTGCTATCACATACGGGGGCTAATAAAATCCCCCTATGTGATAGCAAAATATGTGACAGGTCCTCTTTATGGAGACATCAGGGGTCTCCAAGACCCCTAATGTCACCTAGGACCCCCCAAAAGAAGCTGATGAAGCACAGATCTGCTCCATCAGCTTTTTTGCAGCTACTGAAGCTGGAGAGTGACACAAGAATGCGGAAGTGATGTAATATACAACACTTCCGCATTCTTTCAGAGGAGAGGGGACCACATGGCGCTGATCCCGGGCTCGCACCGGGCACAGCGGAGGCCGGGATTAGCGGGACAATGGTGGCAGGGACAGCGGAGGGGGGCGCACTGATCGTTGCAACATACAAGCGATCCGCCGGCTCTACAGCATCGCTGCCTGTTTTTTTCAAGTTTCAGCCATTTCCCGCTCGCGCGCGCCCAGCGGCGTGCGCAAGGGGGCATGTCTGATCGGAGGTCTAAAGACGCCCGCTCAGGTCTAGAGAGCTCCCGTCCGGCCGTTTTTTTACTACGGCCGGCCCGGAGGCAGTTACTGTGACAACATGCGTCAATAAACACTTGACCACATTGTTTGGTGTGCTGGTGACATTCTGTTTTAAGTTTAATGCCAGCGGTGCCATCCGTTGTCACTATAGCACCCACCTCCAGGGGTTCTTTGGTAAGGAGTTCGGCAGGACATCCTAAGGAGATTATGTTCTTCTGACGCAAACAATCAGGAGAATTTGTAGTCTGTTCCCATCATTAAAAGGTGATATCAGTCCTTTTAGCATGTTCTTAATAAAAGAGATCAGCTTAAAGTGAACATGTACTTTACACATTAAGAACTGCCCCCCTGCACACTTGACAGCTATTAGCCCTGGTGATTGGACACTCAGACACTCACAGGCAAAGTACAGGTTTGTGTTAAAGGGTCAGTCCTTCCAAAGCTGGTATTTTTAGTGTTTGCTCATATCTCTCAGGGACTCTGCTTTTTTTTTATTCCTAGGTCTGCACATGTGTGTAGCCAATTATGAAGGGTTCCCAATTTCTCTGTTCAAAGTATACAACAGGAGATGCTGTATTATGTAAAAATATTTGGAAAAAGGTAGAAAACTCTCTCAGATTGACATTAGTTAGGAATTATGGCACTGAGATTGGAGAGTTGAAATATCCAAGGCTGAAGAAAAGCCAAGATATTTGCGTAGCTGTTTATCTAATCTATATTTTCACTAAAAATACACTCAAAATAATCTTAGCGCATGTAGACACAATATAATCTCCATTTTTTGTAAAATATAAAATATATTTTTTTAAATAGATATAAAATAAGTCAATCCACTACGATACTCATAATTGTCAATAGAAGATGCTTTAAAAACTTTTAGGGCCCATTCACACTGTTGCAGTGCGAGACACACTTTATTCCGTGCATGTACCATTTTTGGCAGTGTGGTGCCTTGTGTTTTGAGCTGCAATGCACAGCCATCAGCAAGGTGTGTTGGAGTGCCATTCAGATTAAATGGCACTGCATTGCATGAATGCATGTACTGTGGGATGTCACTTCTTGTAATCAAGAGCACATTACCAAAACACAATAGAGTGAAGCGCCCTTACAGCTTATCAGTTTAGATCATAAATGATGGATCCAGAATTATTCCTCTCGCTCCATTCAAGTTCTCTATTTACTTTTTTAAACTTAAATGTATTGCTAACACAAGGGGGCTGGAAGTCCCCAATCCACTATTTACTTGGCTACAGTGGCCTGGGGTTTGACCCTCAGAACCTAAGAGTGCTCATTCTTCAAGGTTTTTTCTATGCAGAAGAGATCAGGGAACAGATGTTTCTCGATCTTCTACAGCTTCCCATCCTGAGCAAGTTTTTTGAGGTCCTGGACTCCCAAGCCACAGTCACAACATGTGGGACAACCTAGAAGAGCATATTGCTTGGAAAGAGGTGCAGTTTAGCCCAGTTACTGTATGTTTGTGGGTGGACAGGACATCTGCCAGATATGCTGGAATTTGTAGTTTTACATGTAGCACTAAAAGGACAGTCTAAACATCCATACATCGGAGTTGTAGTTTTACATATTTAGAAGAGAAGCCAGTGGGGCATATTAGGCTTTGTAATTTTAAAGAGAAAAACTAGAGGAACATGCTAGGACTTTTAGTTTGGTATAACTAAGAGGTGACCCAGTGGTGACATAATGGCACTTGCAGTTCTATAGAGTCTTGGATGCTAGCAGAGCAAGATGAAGCCTTTGCATCCAGTAGAGGTCAGTGGTGCATGCTGGGAATTGTAGTTTTACAGGGACATGAGTCATGAATTCAAGTTCAAACTTACACACGCAGGTGAAAGATTTATCAGCGGTGATCCACCATCCCTTATTGGACTGCATAGTGTTCTGTTCCTTTGCTGTGTATTAAATGATTATTTGTAAAACAAAGATTGTATGTATGGATATATATATATATATATATATATAGAGAGAGAGATGTGTGAAAAAAAAACCCTAGCTACAGTTTTGACTAGCATCGGCCCTCAACAGGCATGAAATACTCATATTACATAGATATATTAAAAAATAAATCTAACCCAGGCATTTAGAGATCAGCTCTCCCATACTCTTTACCTCCTTAAAGGAATACGTTTCTGAGATCAATTACTTGCATTGCATGGAGGAACTTACGGCTTTGTTGCATGACAGGTTTGAGCAATATTCCTCCACACGGAGTGAATGGATCGCCCTTATGAGCCCTGATCAATTTAAGAATATTCTTCTACCCGGTATACAGTGGCTAGAATTCCTTTTCTTCTTTGTTCCCTCTTTCTGTCGATCTTTTCTCGGTTTCTCCTCTGCTGTCTTTCCTTCTATCTGGTGCATAGGACGATGACCACATTCATTTACAGGTCACCTCCACCTCATTTAGAAGAATCCAGGGGCTGCTCCCTTTCACTCTATGCTGATCCATGATCTTATACCCTTGTTGTATATTATGGATGAAACGTTTGTGTCAGATTGTATGTTATGTTTACTGTCTTGACTATGGTACCTCTTTTTCCTTGTGTCTTGATGGTTTTCTTTTTTTATTCTTGGAAAAACCTAGTAAACCTTTGCAATTTAAAGAAAAAAAGATCCAAAGCAACATTTTTAAAATGTAAACATTTTAAAAAAGCCAATGAGCTCCTCTGTCTGTTACAAGGGTTCAACTATGTATATTTAGGTAAAACAAGTCCTTGATTCACAATTATATATACAGTGGGGGGAATTTATCAATACAGGAGCAGACAAAATCTGGAGCAGATTTGCACTGCAGCCAATCTGCTTCTCTTTCTCATTTTCAAATCTTACCTGGGCAAACTGAAGATAGATGCTGATTGGTTGCCATGGGCAACTGCTCCAGCTTCTGTTTTCTCCAGTTTTGATGAATTCCCCCAAGTATATTTTATTCTGCTTTTTGCTCTCTGATATGTTAAGACTTGGGTATCCTAGTCATCCACATCTGCATACTGGACAGAATAGTGATGATTCTTGTGTGTTGGTGCTGTCTTTACAGGAGGTACCAGTATATTTTATCCCACTGTAGGTTACATTTTCTAATGTTAAGATAAAATCAGGAGAGAGGTTTGAAACAAGACACTTTTAGGGGTCTATTCACAAAGCTGCCGAGGGCAGCCGAGTGAATGACCGATCAGAAGTGAAGGGAGCCGAACACTGTTCTCTTGTTCCTAATGCATGTTTTTCCCATTCCTCTTATCTCCTATATACGGCTCTCCAATCAGACAGTTAATCCTGTAGAGGTCAGTGTTATTGCACTGCTTGTTAACTACAATCCCATTTAGTAATGTTGTTACTCACCGACTGATGTGATTAGCTGCCAGGACTTGTAGGATATGTTGGGACTTGCAGCCCCTTTGACAACTGTTTGCTAAAATTAACGTCCTTCAAAGCAGTTTCTCTATTATCACTGTAAATTAACAATATGTAAATGTAATGTTAAGTAAATACACATACAACTGGAGCAGCAATGTCCCATCATGAAATGACTGTATAACATGGGTGCTACTGGTGCTAAGGAGACTTAAGGGGATCCAAGTACAGGGGATAACCAGATGATGCACTGGTAAAATGTGATAATTACATTTCTTTTAATTAAGGGAGGAAGGAGCTAATCATGGCTGACTGGAGTTAACTAAGGGGTGAAATAATGTGTAAACTAGGAATACACATTTATTTATCTATTTATTTTGCACGGTTTAACTGAGAGCATATGCAGAACAAAGTTACCCCTTATTACACTAATTACAATGTAGCAGTAATAGCATTGCTACATTGTAAGGGGCATGTCAGAAGGGTGATTTTGTAGCAGCAAATAATTTCTGCTACGAATTGTTTCCAGCAATTACCAGAGATTTGCATCTAAACCATAGGAGTGATTGCTGACATAAAACACTGCTAAAACTCAATTGCTGATCGTCTGAACTACAAATCACTGTACAGTTAGCAAGTTATCTTTTCCGTAGAAAATAACCATGATTTCCTTAATGAGAAATTGCTTAACAAAAAAAAAGAGGATAGCATATAAATCACCCATCTGACAAGGCCCTTATTACTAGTGATTCCTACAGATAATACAGGGAGCTTCAGGGGAACTAAAATTACAACTTTTATCTAAAATACCAGTTCATTAAAATACATGAAGCACAATCTCCCCAAACAGTATGATATTAGATGTTATAATGGTGCCAACAAATACATATGTGCCCACACATCTTTACAACATTCCATTTCAAAATAAATATTGTCATTTTAGATATTGTCTGTTTATGTTTTGTGAGATACAATTGACACCTTAAAAGTCCTATGATGCTCAGTGTGAGTATCTAATTAGCAGGGATGTATGTGTCATGATCTGCTACCAATCTAGGGACAAGCTATTGTATTAAAAAATGTATAACCTAAAATGAATCCAAAGCCTCATATATTCAGAATGTACACAGTCATATTAAAGGAAAAACTGTAAACGTTTTGGGTCAGTTTTATTTTGATTTTTGAACTGTCATTTTATATATTGGCTTTTCATGTCTCGTGTGATACAACTGACACCTTAAAAGTCCTATGATATGATAGTTTGGATATTTAATCTTGTTAAATCCTTCTGGCAATTAGGTTGGAGCGAATTGTGTTGAGGAAATGAAAACCCCCAAAGAATCTAGTTAAAGGATCTGCACAGGGAAAACAGGAAATTAGAGGTTATTGCAGTCAGGGTGTGAAGTGTTGATTTAGCACTTATTGTTCACAGTTCCGAGGAATGGCAAATCCAAAGTCATTTTAAATGTGAACTTGTGAAGCTTCTGCTGGGGATTGTTATGTGACTTTTTATAACTCAGAATCTTAATGTTAAGGATTATGTGTCATTTTGTTAGTGAAAACCTCACCAAGTATGTGTAGAGACTTATTCATACCAGCACTTGGGGCAATTATATTTGACATAAAACATCTTCTGTACTGTGACTTTCAAACAAGGGATTTCAAACAAGGCCAAGTTATCAGCATAGAACACTGGGGAGTAAATCACAGACCTCTTCAGGTTGCTTGTCTCTCTTGGGTGCCAATTGATAGGATTCCCAGAGAAAGGGGGGTGAGAGGAGTGAGCATCCTACAATTTTTCTTTTCTTCTTTTTTTTTTAACAAGTTCAACAATTGTGTTGTGTATTCAAGTACCAAATCATATTTTTCAGGTTAGCCTGCATATTTTCATTATTTTGTTACAAATTAACATCTTTAATCAAAGTACCTGAAAATAAAAACTATCACTAATGTATATATCAACTATTTACATTTAATTCATATTCAAATTTGTTTTGGTTAAATGGTGGTTGGAGTCTGGTTCTTCTCGGCAAAAAAAGCAATTATTTTAAAATCCCGCAAAGCCCCCCAGTATTTTTTTTACTAATTTTTTTTAATTCAGTCTTGAAGCCAGTTCAGTGGCATCATGGCAGCTTCCTTTTTTTTCTCCAGTTGTGGTGGCGGGTTGGCCATTCTTTCTAGATTAAGCAGTGCACAGGTAATGTGACTGTCCTGTATAATGAGACACCTCCTAGGGGCAGGAAATGGGCAGAATGACTGTCATTGTGCCTGAGTATAATTGTTGGCACTGGACCGAGAAGGAAGCCGCAGACAGTGAGTGTAAATAGAACTTGCAATTTTTTTAACACTCATGAATTAAAAATAATAAAAATAATGAGTTCTGCAGTAAATGCTTTGATAAATAAGCCCTACAGATAAGCTATTGAGTTTGTAAGAATGTCCACTACTTAAAGATCTGTGTGGTTGGATAGACTTTCTTTCACTTCCTGTTGTGCCCCTGGAATAGGAAATAAACAGGACTCCCCCTAAATGGGATATAGACAGTAAAAAAAAGTTTTAACCATCTCCCACTCCAAAACAAGAACAATGTTTTGGCTCTAAATACACTTAACATGTAATTCTGCAATGTTTCAGTCATTTGTCTGTAAATTTAATTTGGCTTTTTTGACAAATGTGTACATCTATATTAATGTTGCCTTACCATACCATGGGCTGATATTTTACAAGTGTGGGTTGGCTTTGTTGGTGATACTTTAAACACGATGCATTTTTTTTCCAGATTATTGTCTTCAATAACTTGTTCTCCCAAATGTGATCGTAAGACGGAAACGTTAATAGTGGTGGACAGCGACAATGAAAGGGGAGAGAAGAATGGGAAGAAAGTGTGCTTCAATGTTGCAGGGGACGAGCAAGAAGATTCAGGTCATGATACCATCAGCAACCGAGATTCTTACAGGTGCACACCTCCTTTATTGTGGAGGATGAGACACATTTAACATTTTATTGTGGAGGATAAGAAACCATTTCCCACTCAAAAACAAAAAAAAGCTTTGACTCTAAATACACTTAATGTGTAATTCTGCAATGTTTCAGTCGTTTGCCTGTAAATTTAATTTGGCTTTTTTGATAAATGTGTACATCTATATTAATGTTGCCTTACAATACATGAACGCAGCTGCTAGACTCATCCACATAACCAACCGCTCAGTGTCTGCAACCCCCCTCTGCCAATCCCTGCACTGGCTTTCACTCGCCCAAAGGATAAAATTCAAAATATTTACAACCACTTACAAAGCCATCCACAACTCTGCTCCCAGATATATCTCAAACCTTGTCTCAAAATATCACCCTAACCGCCCACTCTGCTCTTCCAAAGACCACCTGCTTTCCAGCTCCCTCGTCAACGCCTCCCATGCTCGCCTCCAGGACTTCTCTACAGTCTCTCCCATCCTCTGTAACTCTTTACCCCAACCTGTCCGTCTATGTCCCACTCTGACTGCCTTTAGGCTATCCCTAAAGATTAATCTCTTCAGAGAAGCCTATACCACCTCAACCTATTCCCAGTGAACCATCACGTTCTCAAACAATTCATCCCCACACAGCTACCCCATCATGTATCAGTTGCCCCTCCCTTTTAGATTGTAAGCCCTCATGGGCAAGGCCCTCCTTACCATCTTGTCATTTTAATTGTCATGTCTTCCTTATATTGTAAAGCGCTGCACAAACTGTTGGCGCTATATAAATCCTGCATAATAATATCATTTAAATGTACTCGTTATATACCTTGGTTTTAAAGTGCTAAATAGAAATCCCAGGCAAACAACCAAAGTTACAGCTGAAGAACATAGGGATTATAGTATGTTTATTTTTTTCTTTAATATTGATTAAGTGTTCTAGAGTCGTGGTTCTTAACTGGTGGGTTGTGACCCAAAAGTGGGTTGCAACCCTGTGTTCAGTGGGTCACTATGTGTCTTCCGCTATGCTAGGTGAGAGGCTTCTCAGCATCCTCCTAGAGCAATATTGTCAGTTCTCGCACCGAGCAGCCATTCAAAATATGGTGCCTGGTGTGTGCTTGAGGTGGTGTGGGCTGGGGGTATGGCTGCGAGAGAGCGCCACCCATAAATGCTTTGCGTATTGCTCCCTCACATGCCCTGTAGGGGTGCCTGGACCGGAGTGAAGTCACATTTTAGCAATGCACATATGGATGGAGCTTCATCACAGCACAGCAACCCACACTGGACCCCAGACTCAGGATCCACTCCAGTTCACGTAAGGAAGGGAGACTGGGTGGATCTTAAAAATAATTAAATTTTTTTGGGAGTGTGTATGTTGTGTGAGAATGTCTGTCTGTGAGTGTGAGATGTGTCTGTCAGTGTTTTTGAGGGCGCGTTCACACTACTACAGTGCGATTAATGCACCATACCACTGAATCACACCTATCACGCATTCTGGTGTGTTGTGTTGCCATTTATTTGAACGGCACCCCAAATGCACCTCCTGCCCACGGTTTGATCGCCCACAACAGAACGCGCGGTACCGCAATGCCATGCGTTCCATTCCAGTGTGACTTGGGTCTCGACTTAATGACCAAGGATAAATGTGGGTCCTGAGGTTACACAGGTTGAGAACCACTGGTATAGAGGAGCCACTTGCAGAAAGTAGAAGCCTCCTTTAACCACTTAAATGCCAGCCTGTAATGCCCCTTCATTACAAACCCATTTTTCAGTTTTCAGTACTATGATAGTTTGACTGAAGCATTACTTGGCCATGCAATACTGTACCTAAAAATACTGTATTTAATTTTTTGAGACAGAGTGTTCTTTTGGTAGTATTTAATAACCCCTGGGTTTAATTTTTTTTACTATAAAGCCATTGACAAGTGCAATGGCTGCCTGTGTGTGTTTTCTCCAATGACGTTTATAAACTTTGCTAGAGGAATATCAGTCCACCACTTCGCTTTTAGTAAATGTACGGGGGTAGTGTAGTGGTTAATCAAACATTCTAATGTCTTGCCACTTTTGACTACGGATGAGACATTAATAGTTGTAGAAGCTTTCTCATGATACTGTGGTGGGTTTCCTTTCTTTGTGGACAAGTGCTCCTCTTGCCTCACATCCCTTGTTGTGAACATCTTTAGTTATGTGATATGAGAGAACTGTACTCTACATTTTGTGTTGTCTCTCTGTCTATCTGTATGTAATTGTTTCTTGTGGCTAGGTGAGGACTATTTGATCCCCCAGATTCTGTAACTCTATGCATTCTGTATTGTACAGTGACTGCAACAGCAACAGGAACTCCATTGCCTCCTTCACTAGTGTGTGCAGCAGCCAGTGTAGTTCATACCTACACAGTGATGAAATGGACTCTGGTATGAATATTTTCATGTGAATATTGTTTAGTTAATTTCCTAATCTATATACAGTATGCCCACTGTAAAGTTAACATACAAGCTTCTAATTGGTTTTGATTACAGTAGATCTCAACCCATTCACTAAAATCTTATATGAGCTGTAACATGTTAATCTCATTTTAAAAGTTGTTTTCAGTGTTTTTAAATCTGCAGCTTTCACTAAACAAATACCTGGTGATCCTTCCTGTTATGGGATGACAACTGTCTCCCATTTTCTCTCCTGCATTGTCACCCTGTCACATGGACCATTGTTGGAGACTACAAGTGGACCTGCTGACAGACATTGCACAGGCATGATTCACCATGGTCACTGTAAAGAAGCCAGTCCAAAGGAATAATGTGTAGCTGAAACTGAAATAAAGTTACCAGATTTTCAAAATCAAATCCAGGGACACCCTGCTTACCATATCCCCTTTTAACCACAGCCACAAAACCACATCCCCATTTGTCACCACCCGCAAAAAATCAAACCCCCACATTTATCGTGTCCACAAACAAATGGAACAAGAGGCAGGCATTAAAGGTATTAAGACACAATGCCTTGGGCATATTGCGTAGCGCTCAGCATCGAATTGCGGGTGTGGACAAATTGCAGTTACAGTGGGAGTAGCTTAAAGGGATATGAGTAAATAAAGCCTGAGCCTACGTCACTCTGGGTCAAAAGTGCATAGGACACAGAGTGCAGGGATCAGGAGCATGTAATGCATAGAGTGCATGGGTCCAGGGTGCGTAATGTACAGAGTGCAGGAGTCAGGAGTGTGTAATGCACAGAGGATTCCGTACGGGCACACCGGCCCGTTCGGCAGTTGGCGAACCAGCAGGCCACTAACTCGCTGAGAATCGCGGGTTCTCTAGCCTGCTGGTTCGACGGAAGACGTGCGACCATACAATAGAAACGGTCGCACGCGTTCCATACACTGCACGATTCTCGTAAGATCGCGGGATTTCCTGCGATTCTCGTAGAGAATCGTGCAGTGTATGGGCACCTTAAGAGTGTGAGTCACTACCTCAGTAGCAACTATATAATACTGATTATAAAAGTGCAATAGATGCAAAAGTGCTAGCGTGCAATATAAATTAACATATAAATGAATAGATGATAGTGTACACAAATATATAAAAAATTGCAAATTATAAAAAATTCCTGAAATCTTGATTCAATATATACATGCAGTAAAAATATATTTTCCATAGGAAATTGGATCATAATCAAAGTGATAAATAAATGCTGTTTAGTGAAATAATCTTATTATTTGCATCCCGCTTGTGACGCCACTGCGCACTATTATTGTATATTAACAATAAGAAGTTGATCGGTAGACACGAAATCCTAGCATCTGTCCCAGCGGTGTTCCATAAGCCGATGAATAGCCAGAATTACAAGAAAGAAACTCCTCATGGTGTAGTATATAAAACTATTTATTAAAAAAAAACAAGTAGAACTCACATTTAAAATCGAAGAAACCGGCCGGTCAAACTCAGCATCCAGATAGCCACTTTAAGGAGTGTATAGACAGGATGTGGTTGAAAAAGGCTGTAGGAGATCAGCAACACTTACATGCAAAGATGGATGTAAAAAAAAGGTGAAAACAAGTATTTTATAAAAACAAAAAATGGCAGTTCATGATACACAGTTCTATAGCAAACTAAATGTCATTGAGTTAGGAAATAGTAAGGTATGTCATGTTATCATTACATTTATTTTATTTCCCTTTCCTTTATTTTGCTCCTTATTTCATAAGTTGAACTTTTGCCATATAAGTATGTATCCATGATATGTTTCTCTGTAGGTTGCAGAGAGTTGGAAATATTTTCAGGTGTATAGAACCTTATTTAATAAGAACAGAACAATGAGTAAAGTGCAGTAACCCATTGCATCCAATCACCATTCATTGTTTACATATATGACTTCCGTAAACTAAATAGATTGCTATGGGCTAACGCACTGAGCACATTGATATTTGTTATTGAGACTCTTTCAGAGCTTTGTGGAGGAGTACTCTGAGGCTGGGTTCACACCTGGGCATACGGAATATGCGCGTTTGTCACGCGTTTCGACCGCGATTTGCGGTAAAAGAAACGCGTGACAAACGCGCGTTTCCGAGGGCTATCCGGCTGTAATGGATACGCGCGACGAATACGCCCCAAAGAAGCTCCTGTACTTCCTACGCGCTGTAAAACGCCCAGATGGGAACTATGCCCATAGGCAATTATTGGTTTTCACATGTTGAGCGTTTTACAGCACAAAGGAAAAGGCCCAGGTGTGAACCAGGCCTGAGTCAGTGCCAAACAGAAGACAATAGGGCAAGTTTGGAACAAGGCAAATGGAACACAGGCTGACTTTGTAGAATTCTGCATATTTTATTGTCTAATTCCTCTATACCACAGGGGATGAGCTGCCCTTAAGTGTCAGAATTTCCCATGAGAAACAAGACAAATTACACAGCTGCTTGGAACACCTTTTTAGCCAGGTGAGTGACGTACAGCAGGCACTTTTTTTATAACTATCTGTAGACAACATAAGACATTTTCTTCATCTTTTTCCAAGTGTGTATTTATTGACAAAGTTTAGCGATAAAATGTTGTCTGGATGAAGACATGCCTGCCAAAATTTCAAGCTGGAAAAAGGAACACATTTTCACATGTATTGCAGACTGGGCACACCCTGACCACGGCTTATCACACAATAGTTACACCCACTTTTAAACAAATATTTAACAGTAATAATAAAGGGAGTTTGAATAGAACTTTAAAAGATAAGTGCTCTTTAAAACAATGTGCACTTATCAAATTTGCCCCTTTACCCTGACCTAACCTAAAACACCCTCCCACCTCCACAGATGCATACTTTTTTTTTTTATAGATAATTTTTATTGATTTTTGCAAGTGTCCGAGACACAACAATGATAACAACAACACCATCACAAATCACAGATGCATACTTACCTCGATCCAATGACCAAAGCCTTCGGTTCTTGTTTACCTCTGTGATGGGAGTCTCAACTTCTATGGGGCTGTCTCCTGAAAGTGGATAGAAGGGGGGGGCTGCAATGCGCTGTCGTGAACAGGATGTAGACGAACACTGGAGAATCAGCAGTTCGCAGGGGTCATGGCAGAGGGGACTGGAATGGGTGGCTGTCAGTGACAGAGGGTATCCAGCTTCTGATGCTTCTACAGATTGCTCCATAGGAGCGAGCTGTAAAAGTGAATGTAATCACTATGTTTCCAGATAGTGATTTCATCGGGAATGTAGTGATGTCCTGAGTGATGCTATAGCATTTCCTTTCAGTATTGATGCTTGGGCAGAGTTGTTACAGCTCTGTCCAGCCTCTCCCTTTACAGATTACTGCTGTAGTGATCTATTGCTGGCAGGGCCAGAAAGTTCCCTTCCCTCCAACTTAATCTTATCTTAATGTTACGCTAACAATTTACGCAGACCTTTTTTTGCCCCTTGCGTGCATTGCAATGTAGCCTCTAAGGGGAATAAAGCTGTACCCCTAGTAAAAGTCACACTAATGTGATATCAGCAGACTTTATTAATTATACTTTGGGGTAAATATATAGGGGAACACAAATTATATAAGCACTGCGAAAAATTACAGTAAAATGCCTTTGTCCCTCTTTTTTTTTTTTACTATCTAGTCCCAATTGAATCTAAGTAAATAAAAAAATGCATTCAATTTTGCTACCAAATTAAAGCCCTACCTAGGGATGTATAATATGTTAGGGTAGACTACAAAACCTAAGAAGTATAATGTGCAGGACTGCAATTGCAGAAACGATTTAGAACATTTTGGTAAATAAAAGGCTGGGGTGCTCAAGTGGTTAAAGTGCACTTATACGTTAAAAGGAATAATGTCTGGAGAAAACAGCCACTGAACATTTTTATATGTAGTTTTATGAATTCCATTATTTGCACCACTTAATTTTATGTGCATCTGCACTTACAGTTTTCTCTTAGTGCCCCTGCAAAGTCCCACGAATACCTGTTGAGCCTGAAAGTGAAGTCCACCTAATGCAGCTTCCTTTGATGATGTGTCAACAATGCTGCACTGCCCCTGAATTCAGAGCAGCATTGCCACTCTCATGTAGGCTGTGTCTGCTTGCACTTCAGTGGGATGAGAAGATGTGCCAGGGGGAATGGCTATAAGCATTGTCACTTCTGAGTCACAAGCATGTAGCCTGTCAATCAGCCCCTGGCCACACTTAGTCCTGCACACTGCTTTCTGGATTGACAGCATCTCCTCTGTTCAAACCCTCCCAGTGTCAGTTCCATTGTCTGGGAAGGGAGTGTGTGAAGAAGAATTGTTCTCAGTTACGGAAATAAAGGATTTTTTTTTCTTTATGAAGACTGTGCATCCCATAGTAACTGGATGTGTTGTTTGTTTAGACTGTCATGCAGGAGCCTTTAGTTGTACTTTAAAAGATGTCCAATAATTGTGACTGCATGGGTGGTCATAGCAACGTACATATATAATTACAAAATATACACATAAATACAAACAAATATACACATAAATACAAAATATAATTTACAACATTAACACACATTGATAAGATTGTTTACAGTAACCTTATCAATTTGTGTGATGTTATTAATGTAATATATTGTGTTCATTAATGTATTTAAAATAAAAACATTGAAGAGACTATAAATTTCCTTTAGTACCAGAGGTTAGACAGCGTCTCTCAAGCAATGTGACACTCAGTAACAGGCTGTTTATAAGGCGTTCTAGTCAATCATATACAATCCAATTGGGCAAATGTATATATCTGCAACCAGCCTAGTTCAAACCAATAAACTGTGCAAAGATTTGTGTATGTGCATCTCAGATGTGTTTGGGGATAAATTAGGTATATTCCTTACAAATGTCAATTTGGAAAGTTCTGAAATTGTTTTCCTGACAAAACTGTATACTGTATGCAAAGTATGTACATTTTACTTTCATGTCATGTTTTACTTTATGCCAGGTGGAATCAATTACTAATCTTCTAAGGGGACCAGCTGTTGCAAGAGCATTTGAACAAACAAAATACTTCACACCAGGAAGAGGCCTACAAGGTACATCTGGTGATATAAACTTTACCTATATTACCTTTTAATATGCCAGAAATAAGTACACTCCTCCCAATGATCTTCATAATCTATGTATGTATGTTCATTTATAAAATATATATTCAGTAGAAGTGTTCCTAAATAAACAATTTCACTATCCAAAACATATGAACCACAGTACATGTTGGTTGATGTTCGGACCTGAAACTCCCAGAAGTGTTGAATGCTAAAGGCTGTACTGCTTAAAGATAGCAGAGTTCAGACTCACTGCCCACCAGACAGGTAAGTATTAAGGGGTTTCTCTTGCATTTTTGTAAAGCAACAGGGAAAAAGCTGCTTCACTTGATCACTTGCATCTCTCTGACGTTGAGGGCCAACCCATATAATGGGAGCGTCAGAGATCAGGATAAAAAAAGTTTTGGCAGCCAGAGGAGCAAAGAAATAGGTAAGTAATTCACCTTTTTCATGACTCCCTAAATAAAAAACAAGCAATTAACTCTTGCAGTGTGTGTGTGTGTGGAGGGGGGGGGGGGGGGGGCACTGCAAGGTCATTTTTTTTCGCTAACTGGAGTTCAACTTAAAGGAAATGAGTTATTGTTGCCCTTGATTTCTTATGAAATCTATTCTTAAAAAATAAATGTAAATCTGTGGGCATCTTTAGAAGATGGCTTGCTGCTTTGGGTGCTAAGGACACCTTCCTCTAGATCACAGTTTATGTTTATTGTGTATCTATTTTTAATTAGCTGTGATATATTTTATATTGGTGTATAAGTTTCTATCTATCTATCTATCTATCTATCTATCTATCTATCTATCTATCGTATAATGCTGTTTGTTTGCTGTTTACTATTCCATTTAAAACAGAACACTTGCCATTGTAATTCAGTATGTTTCCTTTAGTTTAGTTTCAATAAAAATCAAGCTTGGATACAGAATACCTTCAATAAGATTGTAGACATGTTTACCATTTGCTGTGTTTATAATATATTTCCCAATCTAAAGAATGCAGTGGGTGAGCAGAATTATAATGCAGTCATCACTCTTTCAGCTTTTGCAAAGTCTTTTTTGAATGTCTAAAAAAATGTTTTGTCTGAATACAGTACTAAAATTGAGTGAGCTGATCCAGGGTCACACCCAGACCTGGAACTCACAGTTTAATTAACTCACAAGTATTCATATTTATCAGTTGTTAGAATGGCGAGTCCAACAAAGAATTAAAGTTTGAAATGGGGCAGCGTTGGAGCCTCTGTCAGGCTTTTATTGCTTCCTGAATCCCCCTGGGAGAGATGTATCTTATATTTGCTGTCCCATTGACAGTGGACATCAGGACAGGCAGTAAGAGGATGTTTTGCCAAAAGAGATCACGATAGTAACAGAAACCTGCCTGAGGTTCCAAACCATCTTCTGGCCACAACAAGGCTGGAGTTACAATTAAAAAATTAACTTACCCATGTGGAGGGTATCATTATTGAATTAAAGCCTTTGGTTGATTAACTTTCAGGGAGAACCAACGGTTATATAAAGTCTGGACCCTGCTCTGAAATCACCTGTGTTAAGACAACCTTGCTGTTTAATGTGGTGCTGACATAGATATTCATAACACTGAACAGGTATCTATGGCTGTATTTCCTCTTTAAGCATTGTTACACCAAACTCAAAGATGTTTTATGCTTCAATGGAGACATAAAAAGCTCTCTCTTTATTTTTTCCTGAAGGATCCCCATTATTTCTAGTTACTCCTTAGCTTGGTTAATGTTGTTACTGATAAGGTAGCTGAAAGAAAATGTATATAAACGCTACAAATAGCAGCTATTTCTTCATTTGTCTGAGCTGCGAAGTAACGTTGAAGAATAATCTTAGCACAGTTATATTGCTTACATCCAGATGTGAGTTTTCAAGCTGTCACTCTTACTGTTTCATGTTCTCTATAGAGTTTCAACAGGAAATGGAACCTAAATTAAGTTGTCCAAAGCGGTTACGACTTCATATTAAGCAGGACCCCTGGAATCTGCCAAGTAGTGTCCGAATTCTTGCACAGAACATTAAGAAGTTTGTAGAAGGTGAGTTATAAATATCCAGAGACAGGCAAACAAATCAGTAAAATAATCTTTGAGAATATATAAAATGTTGTTTAAAAGGCATGTTTTAGGCCCCGTTCACATTGAGCGGTTCGCAAATCGCGCGTTTGTCGCGCGATTTGCATTTTGCGCGACATCGCGCAAATGCCTGCATTGAGCAAGCTTGAATCGCGGCTAAATCCGCTCCAAAAAGGGTCCTGCTTTAGCGACACACGACCCGCGACAGCAGGACCCTTTGCCCCATTGAGAAGCATTGGAGAGCGATATGGCGCGGTAAATTGCTGCGATATCGCGGGAATTACCGCGCAATAAATCGCTCAATGTGAACGGGGCCTTACATTGAACTTAAGCTTGCAGGCACATTACACTTGCCAATATGTCATAATTCCACAGATTACAAATAATGCATAAACAACATTAACTTTCTTTCTGTGAGACTTAGAAGAATTTTCCTACATCTAGTTTTTGTTGAGGTGAGAAAGTGTCTGATCAGATGTCAGTGAAAAGATTGGTACATGTGATTGCCGAGAGGTGTCAATCAGTGTATATTTTCAGAGGCTTCAGTGTGCTCCATAGTTCCAACCGCGGCCGGATTTACTCTCTCTGCTGCCCCAAGGCCAGATTCTTCAATGCGCCCCCCTATCTCTATAGATATAGATATCTCTATTCCATTGTTCCTGAGTGCTGGATAATCTTGGGTTTACTTCACTTTTGCAGTCAAATTTCAGAAACCCCCATTATATGTTTGTTATGGGTTCCCATTGGCACACATACTATGAATAATTGATGTTTTGGGGCAGCAGGCAAAATGGCTGAATCCAAGTTTTTCTGAGCACCTTCACAAGGATCTGTCCCTATAGAAAGACTTAGGGCAGAACTGCGTCGATTGTGTTTCTCTCATTAACTTCATTACCATACAATGCAGAATCCAGGCTTGTCATCCTAATAATAGCAAACGCTCTTAGCTCACTCTCGTGATGGATCACAATCTTATGTTTTCTAATTTGTATTGAAAATGTAGACCATCATGGGGTGAGCTTAGAGCGGTGGCTACTTTACAACATACACAGGGTCCATGGGAAACCCTCCAAATGTAAGGCAGTGTCAGCACAAACTCAGAGATGATTAGAGGATCTACAGCTAAGTTAGGCACAAATAAGACACCTTTTTGTTAATGGTTAAGGTACTTGAATGTATTTTTAAGGTATAACACATGAGTTTAGTGTCACTTTAGCACACATTTCTCACAGCCCCTCCTAACATTACACAGAAATAGACATTTTAACCCTTAAGAAACCAAGAAACCCTTTATTATATGTAGATAATGCTATGTGAATGGGAAAATGTAACAATTATAAAATAGGTGTGGTCCCAGTTGGGCTGTGAAAGTGGAAATACACTTTAAGGGGGACACCATACATTCTAGAATTCAGCTGTGAGTCATTAGTTTGTAGCAGTGAGCCTTCCAGTATGGAAGGTTGGAAAGCTAGATCCTGAAACCCAAACTGGGCTTTAGCTGTGTGTCTAATTTGGAGGTATTTAAAGTTCCAAGTATAGGTTGAACTCGATGGACTTTGTCTTTTTTTCAACCTATACTATGTAACTATGTGTTAGATATCTTTAGTTCTTGTTTCAAGTTAGGGAATTACTTGAAGGAGTCTTGAGAGTATAGTTGGTACTCTCTCTATTTTAGCCCTACCTTGGCCCACCAAGGACCATTTGGAACAGTGAGAAATAGTTAGAGCTCTGTATTACACAAGATCAGGTTATTAGGGAGGGTTGCCTGTGTTGGCTGTGGGAGACATAGTTTATAGGTTTTTAAAGACATTTCTGAGATGGAAGTGCCAGCGATAATATAAAGTATCCTACTGTGCACCTGTCAGAGGTGGAATTTAGGGTGGGTCGCACCTGCTGCGCCCCCCCTTGGTAGGCCACTGCACCAGACTGTGATACATTGAAGCAATCATTAGGAAAAAGTGTAAAGCTGCAGAATACATAGCTGTCTATGGAATCAAAAAGAGAGCTGCACTAGGCTGCTTTTAAAACCAAATTTTATGCAACCTGTTAATTTTTATTTTTTTTGTTCAGTAGAAAAATGCAGTATAAGGCTGTGAAGAGAATATAGCAAAATACATGCTTCTGCTTTGAGACCTGTATATTCCCTATTCACTCCTGGCATTAAAATGACACATACTGTATTTTCAGGTTAAGCTGCATACTGTGTTTTCAACCCGACATGATCCCTTGCATCATGTATGGTCAGCAAAGACAACCTTTTCCTTTGCAGTAATTGTAAAACTGTACACTGTTGTTCTGGTTTTAATGCCATATTCTGTGCTTGCCATATATAAAAACAATATTTCATTGTGCTGAGCAGAACATATCCATGTGTTGAGCACTTCCATGAAGGATGCACTGTCAGCACTTACTCTAATGCATTTTGATGGTTAGGGAACAAGTCCGTAGAAGATTTATGAGTATGTTTATTTTCCTGAAATCCAGAGGAGATTAAAGCAGTGGTTATCTGCTTTCAGCAGTCTATTTTAACTCCGCAAGACTTATTCCCCACAGCTCAAGATCTTCCGTTTCAAAAGAGGTGCCCTGAACCATCAAAAAGTTTGTTTTGATTAGGCTTCTCTGTGCCAGACATCACACTGATTACTGGCGCACAAACATAGAAGCAGATAAAACAAATGTGATGCAACCAGAAGAAATGTTCCTAAAGTTTCAGAAAATTTCTATTATCAGTTATTGTACCTGATGTAGAAAAACAGAAGAGCTTGATAAATAATCAGCCTTGTCTTATCAGGGTTGTAGTGACGAGAATGCAGAATGCTGTGAAGAGATTTAGTGTAACTATAATGGAGAACAATTCTAGCACTACAAAAGCACTACACAAGCAGGTCTCCCAGGCTTAATGAAATATCATACCATATATCAGGCAGAAATGGGCCACCATGCAATTCTGCCTTTTCCCAAAGGGGTATGTGTGGTCTGCCCTGTCTGACAACTTTTATAGAAACTAGGAATTGCTTTGTGCAGCCTATTTATGACTGAATATCACTTCATGGTTCACCATCAACATATTATTTAGAGGGGAGTAGAGTGGTCAGCATTGACCTAAAATAGTAACCTGCATCCAAGAGATAGAGTGACAACTTTTTTACAGCAATTATTCTATACATAGACAAAGCAACAGGACTTAAAGTGACATTAAAGTCGACCCCCCCATTGCTGCTTTAAGGACTTACCTTAAATGATGCCTCTTGATCCGGTCATCTTTCCAGTAGTTTTTTGGAGTCTCTCCAGCGCTGGTACTGGTCTCTGATCCAGCGCTGACTGCTGTGTGTTCTGTGTGCCCCGCTGTCTGTCCGCATGCACGCTGCCGGCTGCGTGCATTGACTTACACTGTGTCTCTCCTCTTCTCCCGGCCGAAGATCTGTACTGCCCCATGATCCTTCATGGACGTTCCAGAATCTTCAGATCTTCAGTCGGGATTGAGCGGCAGAGACGCAGGTGCGTTTTGACCTATTTTGGTAACTTTATTTTTTTAAATATTTTTGCATATATCTACTGCTTGTAGCAGTAGATGTATGCAAAAAAATTGAAGGTTTAATTGTACTTTAAAACTTGCAATGTACTTTAAGCACCATACAAACTGTGGTCGCATCCTATAAATTAACATTAATAAATGTTATCCCTGATAGCAAGCAATTGAGCTGCAAGTTTGAAAATTACTTGCTAAACTATTGCAGACTTGCCAAGCTTCACAATTTTGTTGCACAATTACAGCAAGTCTGCATTGCAAGTCTCCAGACCAGCGAGCTTGCAGAGCTCTTGCTAAGACCTGCAGGACTCTTGCTGTAGACTTGCCAAGCAAATTTGATACAAATTCAAAAAGTGTCAACTAGAACTTGTGCTGCAAGTGTTCTGCAAGTCTTCAACTAACGCGTAATATGTGCAGCAAGTTAACAAAAATTACAATTTCACACTGCCACAAGTTTGTAGCAAGTTATCCTTGCTATCTGGGATTGTTATCAGATTTGTCATTATAACTATATAACGTTTTGTTTTGTTTTTTAAGAGGTTGAAACGCGGATACTTTTGGCTTTACTTGAATATACAGGTAAGGATATTATTTTCATTAGTGCATTGTAATATATTTTTGTGTTTTTTTTGCTTGATGTAACCCTAGCCCAATGTACTGAGACACAAGTGGGATGTTTTAATAACTTTGTTATATAGTTGTTTATCATATTAATACTTTTTTGTAAGAAAAAAAAAGCAAAGAAAAGATGGGGCTTTTAGGGCAGGCGGCAAGTACCAATAAATCAAAAATTGCTTAAAAATATTATTTTATTTAGATACAAAGAGTATAAAAGAATGAAATGGCCATAATAGCATAGGGTTAAAATCTATGATGTATTATATTAGGAAAACCTCCAGCACCCACTCTGTTCCATGAATTGTGCGGTGGGAGACGGTTGGACACACACTGGCGGCGAGCTTAGGGGATGTTGCTGGGGTCAAGTGGGAATCATCTTTGCCTTATGATTGAACGTTAAGGGCTACATCAGATGGATTTGTGGACCTGTGGTATCTTCCTTTCCATCATTATATAATCAATTAACCCCTCTCACCATAATTGATGTGGCTTCAGCTCTTTCTGAATTTCTCTGAATTTCCATTATTTGGGGATGCTTACCTCTTTGTCTTGTGGCCGTTACATCATGTGTGCAATCACCAGCTCCGTATGAGAATACTTCCATTCGTGATGAAGCGTGGAATGCGCAAAACGAATTGAAAACTGTCAAGCATCCATTCTCTAGGTTCCAGATATGGCCATACATATGATATTTGGATTGTTCATTACTTTATTTGATCAGTCGTTGTTAAAATCTTCAACAACATTGGGTTCTTGTCTGTATGTTGCTTAATTATGTTTATCATGCCTTAATTCATGGAACAGAGTGGGTGCTGGAGGTTTTTCTAATAGGATACATCATAGATTTTAATCCTATGCTATTTTGGTAATTTCATTCTTTTATACTTTTTGTATCTAAATAAAATAATATTTTTACTCAAGAAATTGTGTGATTTATTGGTACTTGCCGCCGGGTGCCCTAAAAGCCCCATCTTTTCTTTGCTATCTTTTTGACATATATACCAGGGGGTGTGGCACCAAACACTCAGGATCTGTCCGCCAAAAAACTTTTTTTGTCTTCTATACTTTTTTTGTAAGGCAAAGATGTTTTGTGATAAACAGCCATATTACATGGGTTTCATAGCACATCTGTGGTGATATGGATGTTTAGTGTATATACTTTCAGAATTACATCCAGCATTCATGTGTACCATTATTGAATCCAGAGTACGACAAGACCCAATTGCAAAGGAAAAATTCATTTTGATACACCAAGCAGAGTGAGTGCTTCAGTTAACGCTTGCATGTGCTAAACCATTCACCTCCATATAATATTTCCAGGCTGGTGTTGGAGGACTTAAATGCACAGTATGGCTTATATTATCCCTATTTGTTTCTACAGATAGTGAAATTCAACTTAGGAGAGATATGGTCTTCTGCCAGAGCTTGGTGGCTGCTGTTTGTGCTTTCTCTGAACAGTTATTGGTTGCACTAGGTCATATGTATGATAGCAACAGAGAGTATGAAGTAGAAACACAAGAGGCCAGCAGAAGATGGTTGGAGCAGATTGCTAACGCTGGAGTTCTCTTCCACTTCCAGTCCCTTCTTTCTCCAAACCTGGTAAGGAAAGATTTATTCAAAACACCGCTCTTGTGTAGAGATACTTTTTCTCTCTCTAAAGTGACAGTAAACTCAGGAGTTATATCTTAAAAATGCATTCAAGTATCCTAACTATTAACAAGAATTTACATCGTTTGAGCATGATTTGGCAGTAGATCCTCAAATCATCTCCAAATTCGTGCTGATGCTCTCCTTCCTTCTGGAGGGTGGCTACTTTGGTTCCCCATGGTGTAAATATGCATGCTGTTCCCCCGCACCGGAATGGACTGCACTGGTGTGAACATAGCCCAGAAATGCAATAGGAATACATTGGGATGCATTTCAGGTGCGGACAAAAAATGTTTCTGGTCTGGACATGGTATGTGTCACCAGAGACATTTTTGCATATAGTTTGTATGTTCTCACTGTGTTTGCATGTGTTTCCTCCGGTTATTTCAGTTTCCTCCCACAATCCAAAACCACACTTCTAGGTAAATTGCATTCCTTCCTAAATGGGCTCTTATGGGCCCATTTATAAAGCAGCTGTATGGCCTTACAGCTTTACAAATGTTCTTAGCAAGTTTGGGACTCCTTGTGTACGTGTGTGGTATGTGTCTGCTAAGAACATTAGATTGTGATCTCCACTGGGGAACTATCATATACCTGGTAGAGAACCAAGTAGTGAGGAGGCCTCCTTTGCAACTCTTGTCCCGCACCCCGGAGAGTGGTGACAGGGAGTGAGAGGACAGAGAGCAGCACCCGTGCCAGAGGATACAGGGCACAGTGCCTGGGTGAGTCCGAAGCTGGTCTCCAAGGAAGCAGGAAGCAGGTGTAGATGCAGCTGGGAAGACCACCAGGAACTGGAGCAGGACGAGGTCAGGCAGGCCAGGGTCAACACCGATCGGGCAGCGAAGTACAAAGCGGCAGGCAGAAGAGTAGTTGAGAAACAAGCAGAGGTCAAGGGTGGCAGCAGTCAGGCGTAGTCAAGGAGATCCGGGTCAGGCAGCAGAATACTGGAACAGGCAGAGGCACAAGAACACACACACAGGAGCTGAAAGACCATCCAGCAATGATCCATAGGACTGGCAAGTTTAAATAGGGCCATCATTCCATAGAAGCTGCATCACTTCCTGCACGTTTCCGCGCGAATGTACGCAAATGCGGAAGACAGGCGTACGCGCATGCACAGAAGCATCCGCACGGCCAGGTATAGTCTTACAGGAACAAATATGTGGATGGTTCTTTGTACTCAGTAAAGTGTTGTATGATGTATTAACACTGATGGGAAAAAAAACTTTTTATTATTGTCAGTTTAAGGCACAGTCCAACATAGATTACATATTGTTTTAAATACTGTGATATTACATAACTATACTAGTCTATCTGTTGTAAATAATATTTATCCAAAATTAAGTTTTAGTGCTCATTGTACTTAATGAGTGCAGCATTGTTTGCATTGTTATGAAAAGCTCAGTTAGTCTTATTTTAAGAAAAATAACAAAATAGCCCTGGACCCTGAAATATACAAGCTCACTCTTAGCATGTCCACTTTCCACTTATTTCACTACTAATTTACAATGTACCTCTTTACGTTCAGTAGTGAACCTATAGGAAGTTGCTTAACTTAATGGAATTATGATTTTCTCAAAATAAACTGCAATTGTGAATAACATTTTTAATTTCAGATGCATTTCAGATCCAACAGGCAGTATGTGTATTGCGTATGTACAATATTATGTACAACATTGATGTACATGGTCTAGATCCTATACAACTACACAAACAAGTAAACTGATTTTTTGTTCACAGAAACTGCAGTATAGAGAATTGCAGCAAAAGCGGAATAGCTGTCCATTTCAGGGTTTATTTTTAAAAATGTAGCAGGAAATCTGATTGATCCATATATGGTACTGCTCCAATGTTTGTAAATCTGTCCCTCTAGGTTTGCATGGAAAAGCTGTGTTGCTTTTTGGACAGCCAGAAGCATCCTCTGTAAACATTTACTGTGAATATGTTATGACACACTTCTTGCTGAAATTTACCTAAGTATTCTTGCTGAAATTTACCTAACACACTATCCTCAGTGTCATGGCACTCAGTTGTTAATTCCTGTTATTCAGCAGTACTAAAGCTTCCTGTTGCTTGCATGTAATGCAATGCTTTTCTAGGAAGACATACATTATTCAGTGATGTTTTCATCTCCCTTTAGTAACCACTGTGTTTCATTTCTCTATTTATAGGTTCTGTTATCTCATTTACTCTAATAGTTGTAGTGTACTATGGATATTCAGATAGTCTTATGCCTTTCAAGGAAAAAAATAATCTTAGAATCATTTATACACAACATTTCAATGTAGCCACTGTCAGATTCAAGTAGGCGCTGGTCAAGTGCATTTTCTAGGCACTTAATCTACTTGTCAAAGTATAGCACAAAATTCCCCTCAGTCATTTTGTCCAACTACCCCTTTAAGTTGGTAAAAAACATAGAAAGGGGTACCCAGGGGAACCTCTCTTCATTCTTTGAAACATTTTAGGGAGGCAGACTTCTGTGCACCACTTGGCTGTCACTGTGGTCCCTTCCTCCGAACACACTGAAGCAATAACGTGTTTCAGGCGGGCCTTGAGTGGCCTTGGAGAGCCACACTTGTTACTTATTTTTTGGTTTTAGGCTCAGAAAAGTGAAATCAAGCTTTGTCTCACCAAAAATCTCAGGGACTGACTTAAAAAAAGTCATTCAAAGTAAGACTTCTCAGAAACTGACTCAATGCTGCTTCGGGAAAAAAATCAGATCCTTGGCGAAGACTAAGAATGAGATTTAGGTTTAGGACAAGTTGTCCAAGATTCACTAAACGGGCAAATTAGGTGGAGATTTTGCCTGATTGCTTGCCGGAAACTCTAGCTACCAGTGCAGGAAGTGATTCTACTGCCACTAAATGAATGACTGTATGGCCTGCCAGTTTGTTTCACATAGTAAACAAAACTTGTGAGCATCTAGCCAGCCAGCTGTCAGTTGTGACAAGAGTCCAATGGGAGAGGATCATCATGTGCAAATCGTTGTATTTGTGTAAGCCAGTCGTTGGGGCATTGGCATTTGTGACAGGTAGCTAGCATTATTAGGAGAGATCTGCAATGGCAGCATCTGTATTTCTCTGATAATATGTTTACTTTAAGAGCTGGGGCTATTTAGAAAGAACTGGAGAGAATTAAATGGGAAGAACATGGAGTTGTTGTTGCTCATAGTGCCCAAAAATGAGCACCTAAAGATTATAAAACAAGGTTTCAAAGAGCATATTGTAGGAATCCATGGTCAGTTGTGGGTAATTTCTTGTCCAGTGCCCTCAGAATCACCCATATATTTTGGACTTTTAGGTGTCCATTTACAGAAAAAAACATCAAATACTAATGTTCATGCAACAATCTCAGCCATATTTATTTATTCTCTATTTACCATCTTCCATTAGTCAGAGGTTGGTTGCAGTTCTCCCACTTCACGTGCACTGGAGCCTGAAAATTAAAATGTAGCCACTGTACATTCCCTTTAAGAAGGGACCACTTGTCATTCCTGCGTCTGGGCTCTTTCCTGACCTATCACTTAAAAAATGTAATAATAATGTCAGAGTTATACAGAAGATTTTTATACTACTGCATTCTACATGACTAGTACATTTAAAGTGGTGATATGGCAAAACATGAATACATGCAAAATAGTGTAGATGTGTAATGCGTAATGTGATTTATATAGCCATATTCCTCATAGCTGTTCATTTATCACCATATGCACCCACGTGCACCTCACTTGCGGTTTTGTTAAATAGTGTTAAGTGTAAAGTGATACCAGAGGATAAGGCTACTGTCCTGTGTAATCTACTTGTTTTACCATCATGGTGTGACAGTAAAAGGGATTGATAGTGGTGTGAATCACAACTGCATTTGATAAGCTCATGCACCGATTGTAACCTAATGGGTGCATTTGTCATGCATTTCATTATTCTCCTCCAGTGCTTTGTACTGCCAATGAAAAGAGCCATAATAATGTGAAAGGATTCTTCTAATCTTCAGTACAGACAATGCCTTTCATTATACCCATTGAAGTCCTGCTTGAAATTATATTAATTCTTTATAAGAGGTTACATTGCTGTGATGTGAATGCATTGTGTATTCTTGTTTTATCCTGATTTGCCGGTGTGATATTTCCAACAGACAGATGAACAAGCTATGCTGGAGGATTCGCTTGTTGCTTTGTTAGATTTGGAAAAGGTCATGTTTTACTTCAGACAAGCTGAACAAGGACCACAAGTGGCAAGTACGTATTTACACCAGACCCCTGTCTTCAGAAATTCTTAGTAAAAATATATATTGACATGCTAACCTAGAATTATTTTTATTTCAACATTCATGTTCTGCTCCTGGTTGCCTTTCCAGCTAAATTTCTAATTGTGCCATTATCCTCATCCTTTGCGTCTAAATCTGAGCATATCAAAATTAAGGCTAGTGTGTTCATTGGTTCAAACAGGGCTCTTGCTCTGAGCCTCTTGTGGTCTTTCCTAGAGACATAAGAAATGAAGAGAGACTGCAAAATAGAGAACTTTGTGACAGACAGCCCCAACCAAACATTTTGTGAGAAGCTGGATAAATTTGGCTCCACTGGATATTTATAAAAATCCAAGGTAAAATGAGTGGACCACTTTAACACTCTTGCAGTTGCATTGTTTTCAGGACAGCATTAGCAGTTCACTCATTGATTTTATTTATAAAATAACATATTAATTTTAGCAATATGCTGTCATTTTTTTAACAGTCCAGATCATTATGCTTCTGTAATAATTCCAGAAACAACAAACATGGGGTCATCATTTTGCAATAGAACTGTGCCCAGACAATCAGAACTGCCTGTTGGAACTAATGTGTAGCATCTAGAATGAGAATGAAATTTCATTTTGTCATAAACCAATGAGAGGATTTGTCTGTGATCATGATTTTTATTACCTGTCTTGTTTTCATAATTGTTTTTTTGCGATGTGAAAACTAAGCACAGCGTGCATGCTGTGTCCACTGTAGTGCTGCCTTAATTGCCCTCAGCTTGTACTCTTGTTAAACAAATGCCTCTCCTGTTGGATACCAAGTTCAGCTTTATCCTTTGTCAGCAAAATGTCTTAGAGGTGATCAAGGTAAAATGAATTTCCTGCAGTCTATCAGTCCTGCAAATATTTTATGACATTGCAGTAAGTAATACATAAAACAGCAAATCAGTTTTCCATGAAGAGTATTTATATGTAGTTTTTACTGGTTTCAGTTACAACTTTATCTTCTGTGGTCTTCCATAGTCACTATCACAGCAACACGGTGCAGTGTTTTTCCCAGTGATCCCTAAATTTCTGGTACTAGTCATAAAGTATACCTGTTGTAAGCGAAAAATGTAGTCTGCTTCTTCTGACCTTCTGGAAACACCAGTTATCTGGCAGCGTCTGACCTGTAATTATGTTTTACAGGCCCAAAACAGCATGCAGAAAACATGTATGAGAAAAAAAACCCAGAGAATTGCTAATCAATATACTTGTTCCAGGTCAGTGACAGCAAAAGTGCTGAAGAGTAGGGATGAGCTCAGGTTCGGACTGAACGCAGTCCGAACTTGCGCTCCTCCGAACAAGGTAGTGCTATGGGCACTTCCACCCAATCAGGTCAGGCAATCCCTACCCTGTATCTGCATGTACACATAGCGATGGGATGCTTGTGCTGACATTATTTACTTTATATTGCCACATAGCCATATTAGGCAAATGTAATTTACCAAATATAGGCATGTAGCCACATAGGGTCAGTGACTTCACTGCATACAGACCCTTTGCTTAAGTCAAGCTGCAGGCAGGGAATTCCATGCTCACAGCTGATTGTGTGGCATGGAAGTAGCTGCCTTCCGTGTTCAGGAGAAGCTCCTTCCATGTACAGTGGAGATCAGGTTCAGACCAGTTTGGTCTGAACCTGAGCTCATTTCTACTGAAGAGAAACAATCAGCATGACAGCCAGACAGCCAGCATTTCAGCAAGGGCAGCCTATGTATTTCTCCTATGATAGATGTACTGTATTGCTCAACATCAGCCAAATGTTTTTTTAATTTTTCATAGAGTAGGTAGAGATAGAGCCTTGGTCAGCTTTTAATTGCTCTCTGTAGCCCAATCAGAGAAGAATCCCTTCACTTTTTGTCCTGGTGGCACCAAGACAAGAAATAAGGACACGTGTCAACAGATTGTTGAATATGCTTCTACAGGTACTTTGTAATTACATTCCATAGTATTTATACATTTTAAGCCCTTTTATTCAATATTTCAAGATCAGCAGATGAAAAGCAAGTTAATTGTATGAGAGGCTAATACAACTTTCCATCCTCATCCTCAGATGTTCCCATCACTTATCAGGCAGAGGGAAGTCGTCAGGCATTAAAAATTTACTTTTACATAGACGATTATCACTTTCAACATTTACCACAACGGCTGAAGAATGGAGGAGGTTTCAAAATTCACCCCGTTCTATTTTCTCAAGGTGATTACTTTTTTTTAAAAACATTTTATTAGGAAAGGAAAAATTGAGTACTTTTCTTAAGACTTCTGGATCATCATTTCTCAGGACCTTCTGTATCCTTGTAGTGATAATTTAACATATTGCATTTTTTACATATGAGGTTGTAATCCCATTATTTTTTTTGATAAAGTGTTTTAGCGCAGACATATAATCTATTATGGTACATGCAACATACAGCTTCCTAATAAACATATCCCCTTCAATTGTCTGATGGATGCTGCTACCATATCGCAGCCTTTTTGCAACCTTATGGCAGCTTTAAATTTTACCATCCATTGTTACTATCTACAGAATCTGGATGTCAACAAACATCTCTAATTCGCTAAAGAATAAAACAAATAAATTAAAATATTTTAAAAAATTATTAAATGTAGTTGCATATTTCTTTAAAACAATTCAAGTTGAACTCTGGAAATATTTAAAATTCACAAATTAACACAACTAGGTATTCATTAATAAATGATTTAAAAAAATAGTTTTTCTTTAAAACCCCGCTAGTGTAAGTATCTGAAATTGATTTATATCAGCCCCTTGCAATTTCCTATACTGCAGCACGTAGACTGGGGAAGGGAGGGAGGGACAAGTCCGGGAGCCAGTCAACTGCATGCAAATGTGCTGACAAGAAACATTCTGATAAGAGAAAAGGAGAGATGATCTAATCATTCATCTGCTGATCTTTCACTGTCCAGTCAGCCAACTGGGGATAGATAAAGGACACCACTGCATCCCTTTTGCATTCTATAACAGAGAAAGTGGTATCATCTGCTTGGCTTTGCTCTGTGGTAAATCTCAGGAATGTATGAAAAATATATATTGTATATGTGTATTTAGCTGTTTGCCTGGAGTTCAGCTATGTCCTTTATTGTCTAAATTGTCCTAAAAGGATATCATTTTTTATGTGGTTTTCATATTTTACATGCTTGCATGCTTTTTGTATTTTTGTTTAACTGCATCAAAGACCAACTCCAGGAATACATATTTTTATATACTTACATTTCTTGGTCCAGCTTGGCCCAATGTAATTATACATATTTTATACCCGGTTAGGACAATGCTTTATAGCAATCTTCCAGGTCCTGTACTGTGCTGTGCTGAGCAACATTGATGGTTGCTCAGCACAGCGTCCATTCAGTGAGTGTCTAGTGTTAGTGTTATTGTTAATGAATACTAGGCTTTCTCTGATTGGACAAGGGTGTGGTAACATAGGGTCACTGTCCCTTGTTGAATCAGACAATGTCTTGTATTCATTGAAAAAAGTTCTAGCATTTGCTGAATGGCCACTGTGCCAAGCAAGGCAACCCCTATGTTTTTACAGCAGAGGGGAAGTTGCTTAGTACAGCAGCAGTACAGGACCTGGAAGATCAGTTTAAAGTGCCTGCTACTACAGTGTTTTACAGGATGTCTGTGGTCCTATCAAGTATAACATTTGTATACTTACATTGGGCCATGACTGGAGTTCAGCTTTAAACGTAAATATTTTTTGATTATCCACTAGAATCATAGTAAGTTAGATATTGCAATCACTCTGCCTAACAATTGAGGAGATAAGATATTATCTACACAGGGAGTACATTGTTTTTAAGGTAGTTTTAACCCCTTCATGACTGAGGCCTTTTTTTCATTTTTTTTTGGGGGGGCCCTTCTTCGGGACACAGAAGCGATCTGCCGACAGGTAACAATTGGTGAGGATACTCTCCGCACACCTTTCAGCAGTCCCGGCCAATGTTGCCAGTTTTATTAAATAATACATTATAATATAAGTCTAGTAAACATTCCCCAGTAAATTTTCTGCTGGAAATGTGGGCACAAACACTTGATTTAATTACTACTCACAGCTGCCAGCTTTAGGTGATTTAGCCAAGCTTCCCACTGAGTATCAGGTCATAAGGGGCAGCGCAGGTGCCAGCATCTGTCTGTTCATCAGTTAGCTTGGAGGAGGGAGCAGGGGAGTGGCTTGCTGTGTTTTTGCATTAATGCACACTGCATAGTAGCACACAGTACCAACATTTGACTCTAGTTGTGGCCAAGTGCGTGTGCGCATCAGTGTCTTCATAGGACACTGCAAGGAAGAGCCATTCTAAAATGGAAAGGCAGGGATAGTGCTCAAGGAACCTGCTCAATTAGCTGGAAACTGAAACTTCAATACAATAAGGGGCAGAAAACATTGTAAGTGGATTCATCATTTGAAATAGCTAAAAAAATAAATAAAATGTCATTAAAATTACTTGAATGTATTGGCCAACTCATAGACTGGCAATGTGAAAAGGAGCAGTGAAGCACAACTATTGTGCAGCAGTACAAAACCTGTGTATATAATGAGCAAATATGGCCACACTTATGTAATATATGCAGTATCTAAATATTAACAAGGTTATTAACATTATCACATGTTGATCAGATGATGTACATCAGGGGCGCCCACTATTTTTCGTCTGGAGATCTACTTTTCAAATGACGTTATATATATATTTTATGGATTTATTTTTAGGCATCATTTAGATCTTTCATTGTATTGAATGAAAGATCAGCTAGTGTATGCCTAGCTTTAGTGTACTTGCAAACCTTAATTGTCCGTGATGCTACGATCTGTCCTACATGTTATCCAATTTCGGTCCTGTTACTGTCACTTCTTCTTAATGGTCCCTGCACTTCCTGGCTGCTCACCTATAGTTTGTTATATCACACAGAGACGATAAAATCAGGACAGCGTGAGGCTGTAGCATAGCAAGCTACAAAGGCAGAAAAAATGAAAGTAATATCTCTTCCTATTTCAGCCCTGGAGAGCATGGACGGCTATTATTACAAGGATAATGTTTCTATAGAGGAATTTCAAGCTCAGATTAATGCCGCTTCACTTGAGAAAGTTAAACAGTATAATCAAAAACTAAGGTATGTTCTTCATTTACTTTTTTCCATCTCCACTATTTTTATATTTCTGTATATCAGAGCTGATGACAAAAAATACGTTTCAGCAGCACTAAGTGGTAAAGATGTAGTTGGTTTAAAGGTGGAAACTGTAATGGTTTTGAGTTAATTTCATTTTAGTTTTTAAGTTATTTTTTTTTTACACACTTACAATATACACACACACACACACACACACACCGATAAGCCATAACATTGTGACCACTGAGAGGTGAAGTGAATAACAGTGATTATCTTGTTACAGTGGGTGGGATATATTAGACAGCAAGTTAATATTTTGTCTCTGAAGTTGTTCTGTTGGAAGCAAAAGTGGTCCAAGGAAGGAAAACCGTTGAAGTGGCAACATGGCAGCCAAGGTTCACTGATGCACAAGGGGAGCGAAGGATGGCCTGTGTACTTCGATCCAATAGAAGAGCTGCTGTAGCTGAAACTGCAGAAAAATATAAATCTGGTTCCAATAGAAGGGTGTCTGAACACACAGTGCATCTCAGTTTGTTGCGTATAGGGCTGCGTAGCCACAGACCAGTCAGGTTTACCATGCTAATCCGTGTCCGTTGCCAAAAGTGCCTGCACTGCACATCAGAACTGGACTATGTAGTAATGGAAGAAGGTGGAATCACGTTTTCTTTTACATCATGTGGATGGCTGGGTGCATGTGTATCACTTACCTGGGGAAGAGATGGTACTAGGATGCACTATGAGAAGAAGATACGCCAGCGGAGGCAGTGTGATGCTTTGGGAAATGTTCTGCTGGGAATCCTCGGGTTCTGCCATTTATGTGGATGTTACTTTGACACATACCACCTACCTAAACATTGTTGCTGACCAAGTACACCCCTTCATGGAAACAGTATTCCATGATGACAGTGGCCTATTTCAGCAGGATAATGCCCCAAGCCACACTACATTAATAGGTGAAGAATGGTTTGAGGAACACAACAATAAGTTTGAGGTGTTGACTGGACCTCCACATTTTCCAGATTTCAGTCCAATTGAGTATCTATGGGATGTGTTGGAAAAACAAGTCCAATCCATAATGTATGTATGTATGTATGTATGTATGTATGTATGTATGTATGTATATAACATCTTTGCTATACAAATAAGTATTTAAAACCTGAAAAATTATTTGTAGAGCATTATGAGTAAGTTAGCTAAAGAGATAACAGAACAGGAGCCTCTGATTGGCTTAGAGTTGGTCTGATTAAGCCCTGGTTCACACCTAGGCGGCACCGTTTTTGCGCGTTTGTACGCGGGTTAGCAGCATGCGGTTATTTGCGCACTGTGCACATTTGTATGCGCGTTTTAATGCGTGTACATGAAGACGCACATTTTAATTGCCAGCTCATAAACCATTGTGGGCAATGGAAGAACACGCAAAAACGCTCACAAAAATGTGCAACATGCTGCTTTTGCGCATTTTTAGGCATTTCCAATGAAGTCTATGGGGAGGAAAAGCACTTTTAACTACCCAAAGAAGCTCCTGTATCTTTTCAGGCGACTGTCATTTTCCTGCTAGGCGTTTTTCTGCTCAGGTGTGAACCAGGGCCTTTGAAAATCATGGGATTTCTTGTGTTGGGCAGTTAAAAGCGCTTTTCGAACTGCTCAAAAACGCCTAGGTGTGATCCAGGGCTAAAGGATCCAAGTCACTTCTGTGATGACACTTTTGTTTTTTCAGCATAAGTGAAAGAACATCATATATTGCTCTCAAGACAATCACAACATATTATATTGCAATTTTCATAAAGAAAGTATTTTTTTTAGTCCTGACCATAATAAATAAAGAAAATGTATACATTCTCTTTAAATGATTGTGTCTACAGGTGTGATTGGGTGCACATACACTATGATAAGGATGAAATATTAAAGGGCAAGCCCATTATGTTACCACATTCACTGACTCCACTTTTGCTACACGTTGGGATGAAGTCCTAAGAATTCATATTTTTTAACTGCTTTCCACCTGCAATCGGAAGATTGTCATTCGTCTTGGTAATTTCCCATGAAATGTTAAGCTACACCCCCACCTCTATGACAGCTAGAAGTCTGCCTGGTCTTTGGTTAAGTGCAGAGTTCAGGCCACTTGCGGAGAAAGTCCAATCTGATATGTCGAAGTCACTGGCCCTCATAAATGACTCTTGGTATTCCTTAATAGTTGTGATGGTAAAACAAGAGTCCCAGCTATAAAATGCAACAGCTTTTTCTTGACCCTCAGCAACCCTTATGTCTCCTGCATTTGCTAAGACTGTAAGCTCATGGTCTCTGTCTGCATTGTTTCCTGGCGTTATAGTCACTAGCGGCTTAATTTGCCATCATGCAATCCCACAATCACTTCAGCAATCAGTTAGCGTGCAGCCTAAAACAGGTGCCTAGTAGGGATGAGCCGAACACTAGGGCTGCAACAACTAATCGACTTAATCGATTATAATCGATTATTGAAAAAGTTGTCAACTTTTTAAATCATCGATTAATCGGCTTCCGATTGGTTGGCCCTGTTCACGACTCCACACACGCTGCGCTTACTGTATACACAAGGGGAGTCCGACATGTCTGCGGGCGCCTCCTTCCTCGACTCTCTGACCCTCCCTACACTATCCCCGGATGACCTGGCCTTGTTGAACGAAGATATCACTCCCCAGGAAATAATGTCAGTCATCAAAACTTCGCCACGGTCTAAAGCCCCTGGCCCCGATGGCTTTTCGGCCGAATTCTATCACCTTTTATCGGACGATGTAGCCCCCACTTTGGGCAAGGTATACCAACACATATTATCCACCCACACGTATCCAGACACCTTTCAAGACGCATATATTCGCCTCCTTCCCAAAAAAGGCAAAGATCTGCTTCAAGCGGGGTCCTACCGACCTATATCCCTCCTTAATTTGGATGCCAAAATGCTCTCCAAAATCCTGGCAGATAGGCTGGCGGTCGTACTGCCAAAACTTATCTCTCCTGATCAAGTGGGCTTTGTAGCAGGAAGGTCTGCGGTAATCTACCTCACTTCAAAACTAGACGGGTCGCTTGGTGCATTGGATGTCCTGTAGGCTACCAACACCTTACGCTTTATGACCGACTCCTCTATGTCAACCGCTATGTAGCAAGGTCGATGGCAATACTCGTACCCATGTTCCGAGTTCTTCGATACTGCGCATTAATTTCGATGTTTATCCATAGCTACATTATGTTACGATCTAGTCCCCTTTCCATTTCATATGTACCCCTATCCCCCGAAGGCTTTACGCCTTGATTGTGGTGTAATTGGCGAACGGTAGAACATTCTATGTTCGAGTCGAACATAGGTTCGACTCGAACGTGCAGCCGATCCCTAGTGCCTAGCTCTATCAATGTAATCTGTTAATTGAATGGCTGATGATCACATTAACTAACACCATCCCTGCACCTGAGTGAAGCACCTCTCCTGCGTAAAGGTGCCCATACACCTGCCGATTATCGTTTGATAATCGCTGGTGATACCGCGATCGTACGATAATCGGCAGGTGTATGGAAGGCATGCGACCGTTTCTACTGTACGGTCGCATGTCTTTTGTCTTCCGAGCACGCTCGAAAACCCGCCGAGAATCGTACGATTTTCGCGGGTTAGTGGCGTGCTCAGAAGACAAATGCTGAACGGGCCGGTGTGCACAAGCACACACTGCCCGCTCAGCATTGGAATCATCGGAAGCCCTCCCCTCGGCGGGGAGGGCTTGCGATGATCACAAGTACGATCTGCCTGTCCAAGATGGGCAGATCGTACAAGATTTTAATTACTTTACAACCATCGCACAACGAAAGTCGTGCAAAGGTTGTAAGGTGTATGGCCACCTTTAGGCTGCTGTGCCCTGCTCTGTGAATGTGGTCTTCAATGCAGTGCACCACAAAACATAGATAGCAAGGTACATTGGGCTGCCATTCAAAATGAATGGCACTGTAACTCATGGAACTGCAGATTGGTTCTTACCACAACACGTAGGTGTGAAGACAGCCTCAAGCTCAAGTCAAGTTTTTAAGGCACAATTTAAAATTTACAAGTATTTGTTATTTATTAACATAGTACAGTTTTATATTTTAGGTGTAGCAGGAATGATTTTAGTGTATTTTTTATTATAAAAATTGTTTGGTGAACATTTGTGCAGCTGTAATGCAGGCATCTCAACTCTCCCAGACGTTTCGGGAGTCTCCCGCTATAAGATAGTGCCTCCCGGACGCCCACGAGAGAAACATTTTATCCTGTAAAGTTTTACTCTGCTCTATCTAGCAGAGTAAACCTTTCCCTGCTATCTGTTTTTTTGGGGGGGGGGTTTAAAGCGGGGCCGCCAACTGCCGTCAGAGTACAAAACAAAAACCAAAAAACCAACAGACTGCATGGGAATGAATTGCTAGGCTGGTATTGGCTACTTCGATTTGAAAAAGCAGGCTGGCTATTGTACCCAGTCCTGCTGTCAATCAGCAGACATGGACTTGAAGTTCTCCCTCAGATCCTACTCTGCTGATTGACAGCAGCAGTGGGCGGGTGCTATAGCCAGCCTGCTATTGGCTATTCCAAATTGAAATAGCCAATAACAGCCTAGCTATTTATTCCCATGCAGTCTTTTTCTCTATTTTTTTTTTAAATTCTGACGTCAGGAGCTGTCAACACAAAAAAACAGCACATAGCAAGGGAAGCATTAGCGCCCCTGCTACTTGCCATCATTTCGGTGAGGTGCCCTCTCAGATATTGGGGGAGAGGGCACCTCTCTGAAATGAGAAGGGCACCTCCCTGAAATGAATTTTTTCAGGTTGGGGGTCCCTGTAAAAAAATCAATAGAACCACCTTTTAATTCTACAGGTCCTGTGCTTTCATAAAATATATGGTTGTATATGGTGGGATTCTTTTCCTACCTTTCAAAGCTCTAAGTGACAAACAGTAAAAAGTAGCAAAATACATGAAAAATAGAAATAAAATCATGCATGTGAAAAATGATAGG